GGCCATTGCTATTAGGGTGGAGGCCATCGCTACGAGGGTGGAGGCCATTGCTATTAGGGTGGAGGCCATCGCTACAAGGGTGGAGGCCATCGCTACTAGGGTGGAGGCCATTGCTATCATTAGGATGGAGGCCATCGCTACTAGTGTTCATGTTCCTCTTTGTTGCACGGGATGTTCTTATAGTCTTGCAACTGCTGAGCCTTCGGCGGTCGTCGCGGCTGTGCACGTTGGGAGGACAAGGCCATCAAGCGCTTCCAGGTCCGAAACATGGTGGATGCATCCTCGCAGAGAGACTTGAGGGAGGCCAGTGTGTACCAGACCTTTATGTGCCTTGACTGGGCTGGAACGGTTGATGTTTGAGAAGCACTTACTTCACGCAGAGTCATGACATATTCTCTATTCCAAGAGTTGGTGACTACAAAAACCTCTCGCCTTCGGACTCACCAACTCTCATGCTTCGAACTATTGCTTTCCACAAGGACTTTGAACAAAACAGGGGACTGTGAGAGTGCAGTTGTCTTTACCCTTGTGCGTAAAGGACATTTGCCTTAAAGGACTTCTGCCTGACTTACTGTTGTGACCGCCTTCATTCCATCAAGGACCACCTTCAGACCGGATCTGAGTCACCTCCAGTGACCTTAGGATCTCAAGTTTGGGCGAGTTGGGTGTTACCACGAGTTATTCAAGGGTATGCAGTGCCATCGTATGGCATGGTACATGCAGTGCCTTGCCAACTTGCTACTCAAGGTTGCCGAAGCTATACATGAAGATGCTCTACTGCTTCTTGGACCATTTGGTCGAGACTTGAGGCTGTTTGACTCCATCGAAACTGCCAAGCAAAAGAAAGATGTGTCCCAAATTCGACATCCCGCGAAACGCAACTATCCTATCGATATCAATACGGTTGATATTAAGTACTTATTGATTATGGTTGTTTTCACAGCTTAGTGTTCTCAGGAAGCAAACTTGTTTTTCTTCCATTCGTAGGGCACATCTCATAAACGCACATAGCATTTGGGATGGAAGTTCACCCACCTGGCGGCTCGTGCGAGTACTCCTCCCACGCTCGTGCCACGTGGATCTTGGGTCCGGATATCGCGCGTGCCACGAAGGATTCCCACCTGGCCATGGGTTAAACTCTTAAACTGGACGATCTCCAGACAGGAAGCGTCCCCAAACACAAGAAACCCTACAGATCCAGTCGTACCCTCTCAAAAAGGTACTTGGACCCTCCAAACTTTAAACCTATATACATAAGTTACATTAACATCATTAACAGTGTCTCCAATCACCTTTTGAGAAGGTAATTGGATCCCTATAGGGCATGTATGTGTGCCATTTATGTGCCATACTTGCCGGTTAGTTTGGGTGGTTTGGGGGTCAATGGGGCGGCATATGTTCCAATCACATGGAGTGTTTGGGATTTGGTTTGTCATCGGGGGATGCCAATGAAAGATCGTTGACCCTCTTGGAGTCTCTGTACAGGCTGTGACCTCAAAACCACCAGCCCAGCACCTTCCGACCTCGGGGTCTCCGCACCTCGGATCTCCATGGCCCACGGCACCCACCGGGTCAGCAGGTCAGCACCGGCACCTGGTCGGCAGCGCCGTCGGATCTCAGCCCAGGTGTGTCCTGCGCGATCCACGGCCGCGTGGTGCGCGTGCGCAACAAGGTCTTGCGCGCCAGCCCCGAAGGCGCGAGCCAGCGAGCGAGCGAGCTGGTGACCTTGCGGTGTCTTTTGCTGGGTATGCCATGAAAGACCAAAGGGAGACCCCCTGGAAGAAGGGAAGTCGAAATGAAGGGAAGACTCTTTTTTCTAGGCCGCCCAAATTTTATTGGTTGGGGAGCTCCCTAGTATCAATCCACATGTCCACATGTTACTTACATTCCCTCCGACAATCAGACCACACGCGAAAGGTCCTCTACCAATCAGTGACGGGTGGAACCCACTTTGCTTTGGCGGGAGCGTGTCTAGACTACTTGTAGATATACATCCCCGTCAAGGCTCTTGGCTCAATTCCCAAGTGGTGGTTTACATAGGGATTGGTCATAAACAGCCGAATGGGGATTTGAGCCAAGAGTTCTGAAGGCGGAATAATTGGTTTTGAACCACACAGTCTTTAGAGTAGACACGGGAACTGTTTAAATCTGGTGGAATAAAGGTGATCCGCACTGGTTTTTGATGTGTGGTTCTCCCAGGAAATGGTTTCAACGGCAGTATTCAGCGGTGTTTGGGAGAGTCATCGCTGGCACCGGCTCCTCCAGGGTCCGTCTGGACGTGTCCGACCGAACGGGTCCCTTCGGGTTTGTAGCAGATGGGACTGCATGATGTTGGGACTGTACCCAAGGGGTTTGTCCCAGTAAAGCTGTAACAGTCAGTTTTCATAAAGCAAATCACGATGTTTGAACAAGGCCTGCAACCTAACTTTCATCATCCACTGGCACTGGACCCTGGCAGTTAACTATTCCACCTGGAGCCTGGAGCACCTACCAAAATCTAGTCGTTTTAGATTTGTTGATCGACATCAAAAAAACTAAATCCGAAACCTATGTGCTGGTGTCACAAAGAGTGCTCCAGGGATTCCAAAGTGTATTGAATAAAACCACCAAAGTTGCGCCAACAAGTTGAGCGTTTGCGTCGTTTTGTTGATGGTTTGCGAAGCATTTTTGCTTAGTTGTTTCAGGTGGTTCACATGTGTTGTGGTTCTATAATTTTGTGTCATTTGTGTTGTGTTTCTAGTCGTTTGCATAATGTTTTTAAATTTTGAGTTGTGTGTTTAAGCGTTTGGGTGGAGACCCCAGCTCATTTCCGGCAAGGGCTTGGACTGCGCATTTCGCAGTCCTCGATCTTGTTGGGATCGTTTAGTCCAGTCCTTAAACGGATCACACCGCCATGTCATCATGTGGCCTCTCAAACCGGATCGCGCAAAACATCGGAGCTTCTTTTGGGGGTTGACAGGTGTGGCATTCGGGGCGGCATCGAAGGACTCGGACCCTGGAATCGGACGCTACCGGGCCGGGCAAACTGGCCGGAGGTCAGTCAAAGCCCCAGGTGTGGGGGCTTCGGAGCATGGTTGGACTGTCCTTGCAAAGGATTGAATGAATTCCAAAGTTCCACGTGGAACCAAACAATACCAAAACGATCCCAAACTCTGCCCATCGCTTTGGGAGCCAAGCCAATTTCAGCACTACAACCTGTGAGGTTTCCACGAACCCTCGGAAGACTTGACAGAAGAGACCTGTTGGAGCTTGGTAAGAGCAGTTCCCTGACGAATCCATGTATGGAATATACATTGACCTTAAAACATATCCCAGACACTCCATGTATACATATATGCCTATACATTGACCCCCCAAACCACCCCAATATGGAGTGTTTGGGTATTTAAAATCATCCCGGCCATGATCCGCCAATATTCCAGTCCGGTGTCGCATGTGTGAGGCCGCATCTACAAGCCTCCTATGGGCAAGGCGCGGGGCTGCGCCTGCTGGCTGCGGGACCCACATCGGCAGAGTACCAATGAAAGGAGTCGCTTGCACGGTGTGTCACACGGTCATACAAACCATCAGAAATCAGGATCTATCATGGATCTATCAGGTTGGTGTGTCACACTCTCATCCCATCAGATATTGGAGAAACATATTTGCACATAATGCTAAGCTCCTGATCTTTTCAGAGGACTTAAACAAGTTGCGTCTTGTCATGTCTTTTGTCTCTCTCTCTATCTCTTGCGCGCTCCGTACTCTGATCTGATTGCCTGATTGCCTTACTAAGCGTCGCTTTGATGCTGTTTCCTTTCACATCAGCTTGCGACAGGACTCCAGTGACTCCAGGGTCGAGTCTATCCACAAAAGAACAAGTCCTGGCTTCTAAAGCCTGCGACAGCTCACAAGTCAAGTCCCAGCGTCCACACTTCCCCCGACTCACACCTGAAATGTAAAGCACGTCGGTCACCCGTTTCCCATGAACCCTCACCCCTGTCACCTCCCTTTCTCGGGTGGTCGCAGAAAACCCGCGCGGCGACAATTCCGCCCACGGCAGGGTGGAGGCAAGGGCAACTGAGCCGCCGGCGGAGTGACAAAAGCCATCAACCAAGACCCGAACCTCCCAGGTTGACGGAAAAAAAAGCGTGTCGTCGTCGTGCCAACACCGGTGGGCGGTGAGCCGGTCTGCAGATTTCAACTCCAAACCCTTGTGAGGTTCATTCAGGTTCCAGGTGTTTTCCGGAGTCCGGCCGCAGGGGGTCGCCGGCCTCACACCAGGGCGAACGCCGCCGAAGCCGAGTTGACGACGACGCACAGAAAGTCGGGACCGTTCCGGGGCCGATGATCGACGACGAGTGAAGCGACTCGGAGATCGCCGTGCCACGCACGAGCGCACGTCGGACGCGGCGTTTGACACGCGGGGTGCGCGTTTTCGTCTCCCGGAAAGTCTACGTAGCTTATGTTTTAGAATGTTTTGTTGAGATCATTCTTGGTGAGTAGCATTTGCAAGTCCCTGGAAGTCCATTCTTTATCCAGACAGGCTACTGGAAAGATCTGGAAAGCTGTGGTTTGGATGTCATCATGCAACTTTTGTTGTGTGATGCTGTGTGTATCTGTGTGTGCCGGTAGGTTAGAGGAGTTGTCACTATTATATGAGCTGTTTCGATAGCTACACCCTGGGATTCCACCATTGAGTTGATGGGTTTTACATGGTTTTACCGTAAAGTCTCCATGGTTTTACGATGTTATACTCCAGACGATGTTGACCCTCCAATGGAGCGCTCGGAGCTGTCCCACTTTTGTCCAAACTGAATCGATGTTTCACGCCAGTTGGCTCATCGGTGCTCATCGGCCAAGGAGCAAACTCGCACAGTTCCGACAAAAGGAGGCCGATTACTCGCGGTACTGGCAGGGTTGGGAGGCCTGATTTCATGGCGCAGAGAAGCATCCTGGTTTAGTCATTTTGACATAATTCTTCCTACATGGTTTGGTCAGTTTAGTGGTAACTACATGGTTCTTTCAGTAACCACTTGCTTTCGAACACCGGTGTTTTACACACCGGAAAAAAAATAAACAAAACAAAAGAACGCCCAACGCCCCAGGAAGCGTCAGGCGTGACCCCTCGGAATTCTGTGACCGCTTTCAGCGCGGACCGGACGCTCCGACTTTGGGGAGTGACCGGACCTCGCTGGACAAAGGAACCCCCTCGCCGGACCAAGCGGTTTCAGCGTCTTTGACGAGTTCACATGATCCTTAGGTGACCGGTGCTATTCGACCCCCGGCACCTGCCCCAAGCACCTTCTCAGGAGGGCCAGCCCTAGGGTGAGCTCAGTCTGAGATGAGGATGTCGCTGATTTCTTCGGCACCCGAACTCTTCCACTTCCATCTTGGGAGCAGATTCGATCCAATTGCTCCGACTGTCATCACTTCAGGTGAAGGCTCCTCAGTCATCGAGCTGGAGATGTTTGTCTCAAGGTCACCTTTAAGGACCTCCAACCTACTAGCGATGGCCTCCACCCGGTCTCCAGATGTCTCTAGCCCATCTATAGAGGAGCCGAGAATCACCTCAGAGAGTTTCGTTCAAATCTCACGGGCGAGTCGGGGCGAGTCTAGACCCTGGTTTATCTTCAAAAATTCGCTGGTTTGTCATGACAAGCAGCCCTGTAAAAGGGCGGATGGACCTCCCAAATTCGGTCAAGAAGCTGGGCGTGGCCCCTCAACAGGCCTACGACGCCATCATGCGCCGTGCCACAGCCGAGAAGGATGATCTGGAAGAGTCGCTTGGAACAAGCTCCACATGAGCAGCCAGTGGGTGGTGATTGGATGGGACATACATCTGCTAGCGATGGCCTCCAACCTAGAAGCCATGGCCTCTAACCTATACTAGCGATGGCCTCCACCCTACGTAGCAATCGCCTCCAACCTATACTAGCGATGGCCTTCAACCTAAAACCTATCCCTGAGGGCCCTCACCCCTGAGCCCTGGGCCCGTGCACCCTCATCACCGAGGCTTCGCATCGAGCGCAGGCGCGTAGACTGCGAACGTCCGCCGTCCGCGCGGACTTCGGTGGTGAAATCGATCGAGCCACTGGGGTGAGGAGGTACTCCCTCCACTGGGTCCCTCCAGCTGTCTTTCAACAGGCATGATCTTTGGGGTATTTGATGTGTATTGCACATGAAAAGGGTAGGTGTTGCATGGTGTTGTTGTGGCATCCCTCCATTTAGCGAGAGGGACTCTTCAATCTTGATCATTTGCTTATAAGTGCTTCCAATGCCCACGATCCTCCAATCTCCGACCACTGACTTGGAGTCTCTTGCTGCCATTTTTGGCACGTTCTTGGCTCTTCAGCAGGTGCCATGGAGAGGGAGAAAGGGATCGTTTCTGATGGGAAGAGACCCGAAAGCACGGAGAGCTTCTGAGCCCCGGAGCCCACCGTGGTTTCCTCCTGGGTGGAGCTCTCGAAGTTGGCACATCCGACTCGGATGCGCAAACATCCGACAAGTGGTCCTCCAGATCGGTCCTTCATCAACACAGCTCCCTACACGGATCCACTGATCCATAATCTATACACCTTCATACACCTTCGATATCAGGAATCCAGAGGAAGTCCTCCAAATCCCTTTCCAAATGGCCGTTTTTTCACAGTCAGGGAGTGACTAACCAGATCTCGAAGTTCTTCCAACACCGGATTCCAGCTAATCCCTACCGGATTCCAGCTCCCGGATGCCAGTTTTCCGCCGGTGACCATGATCGTTTTCATGGCGCCACTCGTCCGGAACCACGACCTCCGACGGGTACCGGCGCGCGCGGGTGGGACTCGCCCCGGCCGCCGGCGGCCGGGACCTCGTCCAGGCTCCTGGTCCAGGGTCGAAAGCATCTCAAGGCCATGAAGGCGCGACGGGACCGACGGTGGACGGTACAGAGACGAAGCCACTGGGAGAGTGGCGGCTGAACAAGGTCGGGGCGATCGGCTGAAGGTGGAACTGTTTCATGGTTTGATGAGTTTGATGGGTCTGATTGAATGCCAGCTTAGCTTCTAGCTTCACAGCCGGCAGGCAGGGCATTCAATTCCGCATCGCGTAGCTGCCGCTGAATGGCGTAGCTGCGTTGTCAGTGGGGCTTTTGAGTGTCCGACCTTTGGGGTCGAACTCTGTGTGATCGAAACGGAGAGGCGAAACAAGGGGGGACCCTCTAGGGCTAAACGGAGACGCAATCAGCCGTGCACGGATATCCTCGGTTTGGGGGTCGCCACTTTTCAAGCCGCACGCCGAATGCACTGACTCGCTGGACTCACTGGTGCACGGCTTGTCCAGGATGTGAGCAAGACCAACGCGCGGGCTGCTCAGGCCCCGCCTGCGTGCGAGGATCAGCAGACCAGCTGGAGTGACAGGTCTTTGTTGGCCAAGTTTGCCTGGAGCTCTCAATCTGGCAAGCTGCTAGAGAATCAAGTAGAGTTTACAGGCGTTTACAGGCACGGCATGGCTGATAGAAGAGAAATAGTTGATGTTGAAATCCCCACATGCAAAAGAATACAAAGCTGTTGGAAGACTCCCAGTGAATCTGGGAAGAGCAGATCTTCGACTGGCCGGTGTTGCCAGCGGTGGGGGCGATTTTGACGTTAAGCAACCCGCAGCAGCCCTAGGTTGGGTCTGTTATTTGTTTAAACAAGGCCTGCAACGTAACCATCATCATCCACTGGACCCTGGTAATGGGATAGACATGGATGAACTATACCATCCTATATACTATACGGGTTTCTTCAAGTAGAGGAAGTAAAGGGGCATCTAGTGTCCAAATGACAAGACGGAGTGTCCAACCAGCCACTGAAAGACGGCCTAGTTGCCTACTGCCCACTTGATCCTACTTGGGGGCTTTGCTGGGATGGCCTTGTCTAAGCATTGAAGCCCACCAGATGGCCTTGTCTGTAAGTACAGAGAGATGCTTCGTGCCAGAGCCATCTGCACCATCAGAATCTTTCAGAAGGCGTCCATGTCCCAGACACATCCCCCCTCCTCGAAAATGGAGGATCGAGGGGGGGGTACCTTTAGGAATTCCATTTTAATATTCTATTTACACAGCCAACATGTTTCCAGTTTTATCTCCGCGTGGCCCCGAGAAATTTTGACAAGCGACGCGGTTGAATGGGAAAGAGGCTTCAGCAAGCTCACTGAATACAAGTCTGAGCATGGAGATGCCAGGGTGCCCACCAGATTCAAGACTTTTGATGGCTTTCCGCTTGGGCAGTAGATTAAAACACAGGGAAAGAAAAAGAAAGTGCCAAGATCGTGTGAACCGCCTGAATTCACTTGACCATGCTGGCATGATTGAATATGATGGTCTTGCTTTGAATGTAGCCAAAAATTAAAAAAACAAGGAGCATCGCTTACGCCCCGCGGGCGTAAGCAACGCGACCTTTTGGACGGCACCGCGGTCCCACTGCTCGGAGCTCCCTGAGGGTCCGCATCGCTTACGCCCCGCGGGCGTAAGCAACGCGTCCATGCAGTGTATTAGGCAACGCGTCCACGCAATGTAAATCAAGGTCTGTTACAGTTTCTTTGATTTAACGCTCGATGTAACAAGATATACAACCCAACGCTCGCTTGTTTTGCACCTCGAAATGCCAGATACCTGGACCCCTATCCAATGCTTTTTTTGTTCTCGACCAGAAACAGGACGCAGCCCAAAAGAGACCAAAAAGATGACGCCAAAAGATCAGAAGCACAACCCAAACGATGCAAAATATGATGCAATCAGTGCAAAACAGGTTGGGTAAGTGCAGGCTGGTGCTATGGACGACACTGATCATCACTGGATCTAGACTGTTGCTAATGCATCATCAGGGTCAAAAATGGATAATCCATTTTCTGTTGGGGGTCCGACCCCCCCACCCCCTGGGGTAGCAGGGATCCAGACACTTCATGTGTGCCACATATGCCTACATTGACCCCCCAAACCACCCCAATGTAGGCATGTATGCCATACATGGAGTGTCTGGGTGTCCTTCCCCATCAACATCAGTTTTCGCTGTCGCAGGTCATTGAGGATCGAAACAAGAAGGAGTTCGAACGGCAGCAGACGGCGTCCGGGGGCCCGGGAATTCTTCGAGATAGGGATCCCTAGGACTCCAACTACCTGACAAGATGGTTTGGGGGGGTGCCAGGGGGGTCTAACCAACTTTTGAGGATATAGTTGGAGCCCCAATTAGGGATATGAAGGAGATCTTCGCGTTCCTAGTGCCTTGTTCTGGGCTGCCATGGGCCCGCTGCTGTGGATAGCGGGACTTGCGGCTTGCAGCTTACCATATAAAATCAGATGCATACGCCATCATGCCCCCCTTGTCTAGTAATACTTATTATATCCTCTAAAGGATTTCGAGGCAGACTTTTGGGTCTCTTCCTGGGAATTCTTTCCAAGAGTTTTACGCCTCACTCTTGCGGATAGCAGGCAGAGGACCGCATGTGTCCACAAAGGTCCTCGTTTTGAGGAACGCAACTCGACATCCCTGGAAGAACCACGGAGTAGTCCCGGAGTAGGTTATTTTTTTTGGTGGTGAACGAGTATTTTGGGAGTAGCTTTTCGGGGAAGGCTTGAGTGAAGCACACGAGTTGCTACAAGCCTGAAACTCTGTGACACCATGCCTTTGGTGGCACAGCAATAGAGATCCTTTTCCACAGGCCCCTCCCAAAAAAAGATGCCTACTTCGGATCCTTTGGGTCTTCAACTCTTCAAGAGAGCAAATGCTCTCTGGGGTCCTGGCTCCTGGCCGCCCCCTCCGTTTCGTTCAAGACGGTGGGTGGTTGGGGGAGTCTTTACCCACCGAACCTGAGGAAAAACGGGAGAGTCCAAAACGAAAGACAGTCTCTTCCGCCGAAGCGACCGCGTTGACCAGGCTGGACCGAGCCATGAGTGATCCCTGCCTAACCTGACGCGTGGCCCCGAGTGCCCGGTGCCCCGCCGAATGGCGAGGGGACCAGCGTCGGTGAAGTGTCACCCCGACCGACGTGGCGACCTGTGGGAATTCTGTTTGGAAGTGACTACGTCTGACAGGTGGAATAAGCTTATGTTCAGGAAATGAGCCACTGGTAGATGAAAGGGAGGTCTCATGGTGTATATATATATATTATATATTGTGGGTCAACTTCCCACCAAGCCATGTTAGGAAATGTCTCAGATGTGACTAACAACTCTCGACCCTGCCCTGGAGCTGGAAGTCGAGGTTCCCGATGCAGGAAGCGGCCCGATCCGGAAGGGATGCTGGCAAATGCCAGTGCAACGAGCAAAAGAGATGACATGTCGACGTCTATACGAGTTGGGCGCCCAAGTCTACATGGATCAATTGAGTATAAGAACATGTTATATAGGAAAGAGCAGACATGTTCGCCAGTAACAACCGTTTGCGCTGCACATAGCCGCCCTATTCAACCTTTGGGGTCCAGTGAAGGTGTGTGAATTCCACATAGGTGAGGCTGAAGAAACATCGGTTAGAAGGGTCTCAGGTTTGGAGTCCAAGTCTAAGCCTTGTAGTTTGAGTGGCAGGTTTAAGTGGTTACACCATCCCTGTCCTGAGCATCGAAATGTTCGGGACTGCCCGATCAAACCGGAATGTTTGCAGTTGGATCTTGACTTTGCTCCAAGACCTATCCGTTTCAATCCCTTCGTTCGGAGGTCTTTAGACTCTAGAAAACCTAATGGTTGCCGCCTTGAGGCTGACTTCGGAGACTTGCTCCAAAAGCCGCACCCCAAAACCGGAGGCTTTTTTGGTTTGAAACAGACTCCCACCCTCAGGGTCCTAGAAAATACATCCTTTTCATTCCTTTTCCTCTTCACTTCAGCCAAGAAATCGGCGCTCCTAGTAGCCAGTCCTGTTCTGTCTTCCAGGACTGTTGGGCAAAGATTTCCTTCCAAAAAAAGACGTTTTAATACACGCTCAACATCTGGGGTGCTCTGCGCCCGATCACGTGAGCTGGAATCAACACGTGAGCATCGCCAACCTCTGACCATCGACGGTCCGTGCGTTCCTCGAGACGGGGCGGCACGATCTCGGCACGTCGCGCACGATCGCACGATCTCCACGGTGCACAGGAAGGCGGTCTTCGTCTTCGACGGGCGGCTCAAAAGTGGGGACCGGGTGCAACACGTGCGGCTTAGTGGTCCGGTGCAACCGTCCGACCATGGGAATGAAACGAAAGGGGATTGAGGAGAAGGAATGTTTAGAGAAAATGATTTAGACCCCCAAATAGATGGAACACTCTATATAGATCCCCACTGAGAATGCAATTATGGGAAACCGTGCCACTCTCTATTTGGGGACCACCAACAGGCTATGAAGACCAGAAAGAGTTTTCCCAGACCATCCATGATCCACGAGTCACGTGATTTTACTTACCCCAATTGACGACCCATCCATGGTCCTTATAAAGGTAACTATTCCAAAATTACATGGATGGATGGTCTGTGGACTGACTGAGTCTAGAAGATGTCGATGTGGTCGGTCGGGTGCTGGGACCAGTGATGGGATCGATGAGTATAGCAAAGCCTATAAGGGAAGATCAGCTTCAAGAGCTTCAGCGAAGCTTCAAGAGATACAGTCAGAAATGGAGCAGCGAAGCTTCAAGAGCAGCTCAGTTTACGAGAAAGTACACAGACGTCCCAGACCCTAGCCTGCAAAGACCTTTTAAAAGAAAGAATGGCTGACCTAATGCAGTCTAAAAAAGAATTACTGTAGTGAAACAATATATATATATAGTTCTGTAAAACTCATCAATCCAATAGTGATTTGAATCCTAGGGTACGTGACAAGCTCAATACTTAAGTATCTTCCAACCTAACCTCATCCACAGTTACAATTTTTCACATTAGCATTAACCATTTGCATTGGACCCCTCATATATTTTAACCATCGCAGCAAACTGAATTCGAAAGTCTGAGAAAGTGTGCCGCAAATCGCTGCTCTAGACGTGCGCCTGTCCGACGATCCCTCAGCAGGGGAATTGCTTAGCAGGGCGAACCTTGCCGGGCGGCTGAGGGAATTTTCCGCTTCGGACGGGCACACGGTGGGTTTGAACGCCGCCATGGCAGAGGCGGAAGTCGTCGAGCGATTTCCCGCCACTGTGCAGGCGGAGACTGTTGGGAGGTGTACTGTAGGTGGAAGATCGACCAGATGCCAAGAAGGGTTCAGGGTCATGTTTTTTTTAAAACCCGGTTGTACTTTCCAATGTTGAAATGACTTTCGTTTATATACACACCTTGTTGTTGCTCAGTGTCTCTCGTGCGCAAACTGCGACCTCCACAACGGTCACTGGATTGGAGGCTGACCAGGTTGGAGAGGTCTTCAAAGCGGAATACGGGATCGTGGGTAGAGAAAGCTGAGATGCTCATGGATGGAGTGAAATAGAATGACATAATTGCTGTTAGTATACCCTATATAGCCCTATATATAACTATTATGTTATTTATGTTTTACCATCAGCACCAAAATACGTGTTATTTTAAAGATGTAAGCGCAAAATCATCGGGGTTCACACACATTCTGAAATACATTGTTCTTTTTCAGACAACATGTATTTGTGCCGTTCTGCAATAGGGCTTTTGTTGATGAATAAAGCATATATTGAATGGGCGTCCGTTTGTGTCCACGTCCAATGTAATTCCTCCACCCAGCTCGCATACTGCACAAAGAGAATCAATAAATAACATTCAAGAACACGAATTTACATATTTCCTGTATAGAAAGTCTTTGCTCTGACTTTAAAGAGTGGAGGAGAACCTCAACAAAGATCTTGACACCTGAGACTCAGACGTTACAGCGATACAAACACAACGGGTGGATTTCAATCCCGTGCCATACCCGTACACGTTCCGAGGGTATGTTAAAAAGGAAGAAACATGGTGTTTTCGCAACCCGTGGCAACCCCATACTTTACCCGTACTAACCCAATTTTGTTTTTTTCGTTTGTTTAACCTTCCCCTCTAACTGTTGCTTGAAGGATTCTCTTAACCTTGTTGCTTTTTCTTGGTATACAGATACCTGACAAACAATCATGTTTGTTGCTTATATTTTGGGAGGCTTTCCGATGGGTTCAAGCTTGAGAAATTCAGTAGCACGGCTTTATGATCTTTATAGACCTCAATTCATGAGTAACTCTGTGAGCGCACTGGCGGCACAGGATGGCTGAGAAAGGGGTCAGTGAAACATCCAGAAAAGTCATTGTGTTATGTACCAGGGCCCCCTAAGCGGTGGTTAGTGGATACTTCTTAACCTCTAAGGAGCTATAATTAGACACCCCGAAACGGGGGCTCTGGTACTGACCCCTTGTATATAACGCTCGGTTCTTGCGAACTTCTCGCTATATTTTCCCATTCTTCTCGTTCCCAGGTGGTAGGGGCGCCAGAGCCTGTCATCAATCAGCACTACAAGCGAGTGCCTGACGCGGTGATCGTCGGTGCGTTTGACTCATTGGTGCGCGATTTCCTGGTTCAAGTGGCATGCAGCATGCGGGATCGTTTAGGTCATGAGGTTTGAGTCCTCAAACCTCAATGACCTTGTTTAAATTGGTTTGTGAGGTCTGAACGGTGTCGATTTCTTCAAGTCACCGTCCCCAGAGGCAAAACACCAACTCAGTTGGTGCGATCTCAGCTTTGGAACGAACAACACGCTGGGGTCCACCATGTTGGCAACCTCCGACCCGCTCCAACCATCAAACCTTGGTATTCTCACTCTGCCAGACGGTCCGAACCATCGAGTGGTGTTCGGTCCGAGCTCTCTAGGGTCGCCCCGAGTGGTGTTCGGTCTGAGGTTTCTTAGAATCATGATAGACCTGGATAATCCGACTGTGACACATTGTCTGCAATAAAAAGCGGCCAAGATAGGCAGACAGTTGGCATAGTTGGAAGACATTGGAAGATCCAGGTATATGCTGCATGTTCAGTTCAATCATGTTCAATCTGTATGTGTTTTGTGTTTTGGCATATTACGTAAACTGGCCCCAAGTTGTGAAGCATGATCCGGTTGCTTTTGGGGTGAAAGTTCATGGCTTCATTTTCTCCACCCATTCTCCACCACTTTATGATGCGGATGTGATGAGAATGGCTCTCCCGGTTTAGCAATTGCCCCCCCAAGGCCACCCACATGGATGCCTGCATGCTCAGCATCATGGGCAAATGCTCTGCTCTACCTAAGTAGGAGAAGCACCCAATCGCCAGGTGCTATGAATGAAGGGTCCCGACTAGCGAGGTGGAAGCACATGCGTGTTCAGCCTTTGCAGAGAGCGAGCGAGAAAGAGAGAGAAAGAGAGAAAGAAAAAAAACAGAAAGAAAGAAAGAAAGAAAGAGCATGAATGAATGATGAGTGAATGAATGAATGAAAAAAATAAAAACATAATGAAAAGAAAAGAAAAGAAAGACCCTCCTGGTCCCGTGGTGCACGATCTCCACAAGTGGATGAAACATCTCCATTCCCAAAGCTGCCCCATTCCTTCTGCTTCGACCATGGCATGCTGATGTGGTAGGCTCATGGATGTCATGTTTGTTCCGGTGATGACATGCTTCGAGAATCGCTTGGCGGGTCGAGCCCGCGAAGGCTATAGGGTTCCCACGCAACCGCGAGCAAGGAGCTCGAATCATGCCGGACATGTGACCTTAGCTGCCTCGCCACAGGTGACCTTAGCCCAGTTGCGACAACATAAAAAGGTGAAGCAGCAGATGGCCAACGGCCTGGATGTAGCCTACATGGTCACTTGGATGTGATATGTGTTGTTTTGGATGCTGCATGCTGTTTATGTGTTTTTTTTATTTTGGGGGAGTATCGAGGGGAAGGGAGGTTCCTGTTTCTCACTTGTTGTTGTTGTTGTTGTTGTTGTTTTCCGGTTTCTGTTGTTCCATTGCTTTTCTCCCACGCGGAGCCGGGTCCAACAGCTGATCCTGGGAGTTATGACCGATTTGATGAGTTGGTGTTTGGTGCTTTCGCCGACTTAAACACCGCCCCTGATGGTGGACGACCTGGTTTGGAATGGTTTGGAGGTCAATATGGTGGACTGGTCGGGCAAACATGGTGCCATGACCCATCCCCAAAGGAATTATGACGCACATACCAGCGAGCATACGTGACCACCACGCAACAACGAAAGACCTAGATCGCAGTATCATCGGCCTTAGCTGCTTGGCTCGTTTGTGGCTTCCTTTGGCCATTCAGAGGTTCTATTGCACTACAGACACTATTGTGTTTAATTGTTTTTCTGGGGGGTAAGGGGGCCGTGTGATAAAGTTTAAAGAATTAGATGATTGTTTGCTACGCTCGTGTTTGTGTTCAAGAACTTGACATATCCCAGACCATGCCTGTGTGGAATAGTTGCTACAATATATTGGCAACAGTCGGTAAACAATCATCACAATTTTTGAGAAAGGCCTGTACTAGCCAAAAATAAATCCACTGTTGGCAATATCTGGCAGCATATACCCAACGACCGCACAATACACAGCGTAGACCGCGCGATAGTGACACCAGACCTGTTTGTAGACCGACCAAACAGGTCGAGGTCGCTCCACCTGCCCAGGGCGAAAGGCCCGACCAGAAGCGCCGCTGCTGGGATGGAGAAGTCGAGTCGAGTCGACCAAGACGTTTGATCGGATTGTTTCAATCCCAGACACTCCATGGGACTGCCATATATGCCGATCAGTTGGAGTGGTTTTGGGGGTCAATGTAGGCATATATGGCATACATGGAGTATCTGGGAATGCAAACAGCTACTTAGTAGCTTTCGAACGTGACGGAGTAGTCATGGCCTCCAACCTAAGAGTGATGGCCTCCAACCTACTATAGCAGAGATGGCCTCCACCCGAACGTAGCGTTCGAACGCTATACTAGTGCCAGGAGCTCACGTTCCGGCATCGCGTCCGATCGCTCCGGAATGGTGGCGATGGCCCTTCGTTACCTTCGTATAGGTGTTTCTGCTTGGGAGTCCTTCCACTCCGTGGGTGAACACCGTGTAACAAACATTCGATCGTGCTGCAAGCTCAGAGCTGCGGAACGACACGACCGCCACCGGGCCGATGTGGTGCGCATCTCGCCGAGCTTCCGTCGTTCCGCTGCTCCCGAGGTTGGCCGTACATTTGGTTTCAACATGACCAAATCAAAATCGCGATGATGGGAGTCCTTCGGCGGATCGAGACATGTGGGTAAACATCGGATGGGATTGCATGGACAGTTTGTTCAACCATACTTTCCACTCAGGACTAACCAGGTTTTCCCGCATTTAAATACAGGACGGTTTGAGTAGATGGGCTGGGGTGGTGAGGCAATCTCGACATGAAGCGGCTTCACACACAGACATGAGCAGCAAAAAGTCCTTTGTTTGACCATGAACCTGTGTCATTTATCTCATCTCTGACGCTGAACTGCTGAACAGTGTTTCTATTTAACCACCAGCATCAGCTTCAAATGCTAATAACTTCCATGCTTCACCCCATTGGAGTTGGACAGGATGAACATTCCACGACCCCCAAGAGACCTTTTCAGAGCGCTGTTTCCACTGTCGAGGTGAATGAAAATGCTTTGTCCAACCTCCAGGTATGGAAACACTGGTCGGAGTCAAGTGTATGGTGCTGGACATGAGACAACCCCTCAGGAGCTGGGCGTCTGGGCTAGTAGGGGTGTTTGCCATCCCCTCGGATGGGCGTCCCATGTCGTTTGGTGAGCGACATCAAACCAAACAACCACCGAACGAACAACCAGTCACCCACCGTCCAACCTGTGACCGGCCACCGGGACCCACAGCCCCATAGAACTGATGCGCAAACACCAGCAGTTCAAACGACCTGCGAAGCATCACCTGCACTCAAGATGGACCTTCGACCCCCCCCAAAAAGGAATCATTGGATCCCCCAAATAAAGTGGGGTATAGTTCTTCGAAGTCTACTTCGTCCTAAGGACAACTCTTCGAGATACTTCGCAAACCTCCATCCCTTTGGCTTTGGGCATTTGGGCAGCAGCGACGAACGCGATTCGATGCGTCGCGATGTCAGTCCGGCAGGCAGGGGGTTTGAAGGCCGCGGCAGTCCGCGGTCGGGACGGTGGTCGTACTCCGCGGTCGCGATCTTCGGAGTCCCGAAGAACCTCATGTGGCCGGGATGTAGCCATGCGATAGGTACCAGAGCCAAGCAGGGACGGTGATTTGCTGCGAAAAAAAGTACTGACCTCTCCATGATCAAAGAGTTCAAGAGTAATTGTAGTGTTTCTAGAGATTAGGGGTTTCCAGGATGGCCTGGTGTGTTGCTGTATCATTATCGTAAAGTCAACAGACCCAGGCAAAAGAAAGAGACAGGTCAACATGATGATCCTGAACGCATCCTTTTTCAACGTGCCGCGCTGTTTTCTGCGGGTCCTGTGCCATGCTATTTTCAGGCCAACGCAGCAGTGGGTCGACGCAGAGAATCAGTTCCTGACAGAGCTGCGGGTTTTGAGACTTGGACAAGTCCAGTCATGACTCATCCTGAGCTAGGGCATCCCGACAGGGCTCGCTTTGTTTCTCCCATCTCCTCAGGGATTCGGTGGTATTCGACCATGTTAGGCACCCCCCTGGCACCCTCCCCAAGCACCTCAAGGAGTCAGGCCAGCCCTAAGTAGGCATGAACGACCCCGTCGTGGATGACTCTTCTGGGGGCAAAACAGTCTTTCTTTGTTCGTTGACCGTGGCGCCGATCTTTGACGCTGTTGGGCATCGAACCTCGAACTCTCCGCGTGTCCCGGCGTGTCCCGTGGAACCTCGATCTCTCCGCTCGTGGCGCTCCGATCTTCGCCCGCGCCGCGCATCGTGTCTCGAGGCCTGCGAAGGGTTCGGACACCGACTCCAGCGAGGCATGCGAGCTGGAGTTGGAGCCGGAGAAAGAAGCGAACTGTGCCCGTGCGGAAACGGACGTCGTTGGCTTGGGCTAGGCTCTTGGGGCTCTTGATTGGTCTTGGGTGTGCTGCTTTGGAATTTGTCACAATGTCAATGTACGTACTGGCCATACCTGAACCCTGTATATCAGAAAAGGATGCAACATGTGTACCAGTCTGCCAATGTATGCATCTTTTTGGGCCCTTGGTCTTCCAAACGCAATGCATGTAAAGCCGTAGTTTTTTTTCCCAAAGAATGCCTTAGCTCCGTAGCGCACTTTCCCGAGCCGTAGCGCCGGCAGCTTCCCCTCGAGCTGAAGTGCTCGGTCATGCTCGGTCTGTGGTGAATTGATCAACTCAAGAAAGGTCGTTGGAGCTCCTACCTGACCTGACGAACTACTTGGGGAGCTTCTGAACGTACTACAAGAACGGTCGTAACACCACACACCTGGGAGTCGTAACCCACCACTACCTGGGACGGTCGATTGATTGAGTATATATACAGGCACGACTGGACCCTCCTAGCACCCACCCCAAGCACCTTCTCAGAGGGTACTTGGATCCTTAGGGCATATTTCTAGTACGGTTCAGTCTGACACCTGCATGGAAAGCCCTGGCGCTGGACAACCATTCTTCCTTTGACGGGCCCCTGGATCAAATCTTCCCTGGTCCGCTTTGTTGTGGAGCAATGTTCAAAACCAAGAGATGGCTTCATAGTATCCAAAGCATTCCAAAGAAATTACTATTATAATAAACTCACTCTAAATCACTCTAATTCCCAGACCCCTCAAATCCATCGCCAACCACCCCCAATCAAATGTATTTCCTTTATATTCACCATTATTATAGATTAAAATTATACTTTTAATACTTAGCCTGACCCACAGAATCAAGAAGACCCACCGCAGCCAGCCACCGCCAGCCACGCCACCAGCACTGAGGCCCTCAGCTCGAAGAGGTGCACCGTGCAGAACTCCGGGAGCAAGGCGTGCACGCCATGCATCGGACGGTGTCCAACCACGTGGGCTCCACCACTGACCACACAGCGTGGAGGTGTTCAACAGCCTGGCTATCTAGTTTTCCCCATCCCGTAGATGTACCACGTACCAGGTACAGGGTCCTAGGTCTCTCAACCTCTCGTACTACCAGTCCAAGCTTCGAAACTGGGTTCGATGGGACAATGGTGGGTGGATGCCAGGGGGGGTTGCGCCCACCGAACCTGAGGAGATGGGACAGGAGCGCCACACTGTGTCACGTGTGGCCACACACGGGGACACCGTGCCGTTGTTGGTGGAGTTGCCATTGGCAGCCAAATTGAACGGCCATGCTCACGGAGCGATTTCATTCACAACCTTGGTTTTGTTTCAGAATATATATATATATTTATTTTGTCGATTCCACATCAAACCCGTCAAGGCAAATTCTATTTTGACGCTTCCACGCTCGGAGATGTGTGATGTTCCGTGAGAAAGAGTTGAGACATATTCAGAAGTCGGTGTTTTTTGTTATTTTTTGCTATCCCAGACCATCCATTTATGGAATAGCAAACATTGACACCTTTGCAACCCATCCATGTAGGCAACTATTCCAATCCCATGGATGGTTTGGGTATGGACATCACACATGCTTTCGTAGAAGACCTCACGCGAAGTCAAAGGGTCCGAATGGTTCCGCTCCTTTCCGAAACAGCATGGAACGCTCTAGAGACTACTCCTCACTGCACCCACTTGACCCTCATTCCGCGGGCTATGACCCTTCACTCCCTCGCCGTGGCACGTTGTGCGGCTGCGGCACCAGTCCGGCCATGCTCCTTCCGCGGACGCGGTGGCCGGGATCGGAGGCTTCACGGTGGTGGGTCCCACCGCGGCGTTTCGCTGCGCGGTGCTGGACGCGCTGCGATTGGCCAACATGCTCCTGGCTGCTCGGCGGATGGGAAGGAGATGGATTTCGAGGGGGGTTCAAAGGCAATGAACAGCAGTTAAAAATCTGTATACTTTGACCTTCCAGATAGGTCAACCTGGATGGAAGAGATGTCGTAATTGATCATGTTTGAATATAATTGACACATTTATGCACCAACTGGGAACATCCGATGCATAGGTATGGAAGCGTAAAGTGACAAGTGATGTAAAGGGGTGCAGAAGACAAGAAGAGCAAGGCGGGTGGAAACTTAACATCGAATTGCCGGTGAAGTGTGTGGTCTCCCGAGACAACTTTCCAAGCTCATGACTTGTTAGGCACAAGAAATTCTACAAGCAGACAGCACACCGCCGACTTTCTAGCAGGTACATCCTATTCCCAAACAGTGTGGCCACACTAAGGCTTCTTACGGTAGGCGTTAAATAATGTTTAATACGGTAGGAGTTAAGGCCGGGTGTTGATCGGTGGTGCTCGCATCTGTGTGCAGCTATTACATGACCGATACCATGCTTGGTTGTTGCGTTATGTTGGTCACCAGGGGGTTGTCGTCCCTTTCAACAAATGTTCCTCCAAACAAGAGCATGTCCAAGAGAATCTTTCCTGTAGCAAGATTCGTCAGAGTAGTGGTGGTGATACAGCAGATAGTGGTGGTTGTACGAGTAGTTTCTGGTAAAGTAGCTAGCAAGTCCTTGTTTTGTGAGAAACACTCGTAGGTTCTGCGCTCCATTTGTATGTACGAAGTCGTTTTTTCGGCAGAAAGCAGCATATTGCACATCATAATTGCACATCAGAGCACGGAGAGAGAGGGTATAGCCAGAAAAGCATTGAAACATCGCACGGTGGTCTCCATCGATTCCTCGGTCCTTGACCGCTCATCGATTCCTCGTCGCGGGACCGCCGTCCGCCCGTCCAAGGGAGCCGCGGTGAACTGGAGTTTGGGCAACTTCTCAGCACCGTGGAGACTTGGTGAACAGCATCCGAACCATGGGGTGGAACGACGAGCGGGCAACGTCGCGGCCAGATGTGCTGTCGGCGGTCGGCTGTCGACAGGCGGCAGAGCGGCTAGCGGCGGAAGACGATCGGATATAGGTCGGAAGGGGTCGGACTAGGCGGACGAACCATGTGAGGAAAACACCAGTTTTTGGGCACTCATCACGTGGGAGTCCCCCACATGGCATGGCACCCCGACAGGGTCCTTCAGTTCCGAACTCGCGGTTCGACCGAGACTTTGGGATCGACGGAACCCGTCGAGAGAGGTTTACTACAAACCGCCTGTCGAAATGGCCTTGCCTTTCAGAGCTGGGTGGTGGTGTGGTGGTTTAAGAGACTTGGATGGTCAGGGGATGATCCCGACTCTGAAGGAGTCGCTCTCCAAGGTTGGAGAGCTGGTTTTGCGCTTTCGAGGCATTTGACTGTTCACACCTATTAAGGAAGAACATGGAAGAACTACCTGGGAAGTGTTTAAACTACCATCCAGAGGTCTTACAGTCCCAATTGGGGGCGGTGTTACCCATCAACGTCTACAGGAGACTGATTGGCCGGTGGTGAATTGTCCATCTAAGAGACTTGATGAGCTGGCATCCCACCCCCTCCAAGAAGCACTTCAAATTCCTGGTTCACGTCGTTTTCTTGTATTTTGACAGGTTCAGAAACAAATGGTACTGTAGGACTTCACTGTTCGATGCGGTCACTTGGCTCGACCGCAAAAAAACAAGCCACGTGGCGCGAACGATGTTTTCGGACTCTTAGTGCCAAATTCAAATCGAGGATCTCGACTAAAGAATACGAAAGATCAAAACGAGTTCCGTCTTTTTAATCGTTAATGTTAAGCTGCCGAGGATTTGCCCAAGCACTTTTTTTACGCACATGGGTGTGCAAGAGTGGTATCAAAAAAGAATGAACATCAAAAACAAATGAGATAAACATGAGCATTGAGCATGGCAAACATATCATGCGTATCAGTATCAAAATGGACAATGTGTGGTTCCCTGGTCACTGAGTGAACCCTGGTCTCCTTGGTCCCCTGGTCATGATGCTGACACCTCCATTCTCACATCATCTCACATCATCGTCATCCTTCGTCGTACCTGACATCACAATATCAACATCACACAGACATCATCACTCCACATCGTCACAGCACTTGTGTTAAACAAAAAATAACAATAATGTTTTGGGCCGTCGATGCGTCTTCTGATTTGGTCGCGCTTACGGATCTCGACTCGGTGTGCTCATGGGGTCGCCCGGGTGACACGTCAGTTCAGGTGTTGGTTGATCCTTATCAGTTTGATCCCTCACCCCTGCAAAAGTAGCAAAAGTCTACATATGCAAGTAGCTAAATAAATATTGAGAAAGGGCATCATTGCTACTGATGCTATACATACCCTACTACCTGCACGGGGAAAATCTAACTGATGGTACTGATTGGGGCTCAGGGAGTGGTTTGTTGCAAAAGGCTGACGCCTTCCTGTTTCAAGACGTCACAAATCTCACCTTCAGCGCATCGCAAACAGGAGAGAGGAAAAGGATGGAAAAGGAAACACTGTTTAGTTGGAAACGCGTTGGTTTCTCAAGTGTCCCTACCGCGGCTGGTAGAAAACACCATATGGGACACTTCCTAACCAAACTTCATGCTACTAGTGACTGCTAGTGATGCTGCTCTAGCCCCTTGTTCTCAAAATGGCGTTTGGTTGCTGTTTGGTGTCCTTTTTGTGAACAAAGAGATCGCCAGTAAGGCGCCAAGAGGACGCCACTGATGTGGTGTAAGCTCAGAGGAAGGGCAGAGAAAAGAAGGGGAACTTCGTGTCAAATCAAACGGTGTTTGTTTGCACCTTGATAGTAATAGTAATCATGTACCAAGATATACCAAGATCATCCTGTTTGGGTGTCCAATAGACTACCCTACCCTACGTAAACAGGTCTCCGGACAGGGCACCCGGACAGGAAGTGCTATAGCTATAGTATACCCTAGGGATCCAAGTACCTTCTCAGGTACGGTGATTGGAGACACTGTTCTGTAGGTGCCACGAGGGTCCAGTCGTACCTTTTAAGAGATTCGATGGTACGACTGGATCCCTAGGGTATCATGTGTAGCTAGGTTTCTCATTTCACGGAGCGCGGTCGGGCCATGTGGATGCATCCCCGAGAGGCATGTGGTGGATCCCACGACCTAAGTGGACAATGATGGTGTTTATACAGCCCTGAAGCCAGAGCGAGCTAGATATCCACTGCCACTTGAAACATCTTGAAACAAGTCAATCAAAGACGATCGAGGGAACAAGGACGCTACTGTGGGCTCCTGGCCTTACTACTACTCGTAGTAATTAACTAAGAAGCTACTATATGTCTTCTGTTCCAACTTCTTTTCTCTCCGCCCCCCGTCCTTTTCACACCTCCCAATGGCTCACACCCGAGGGCGGACAAGCTGCTGGCGTCCAATTCGGAGGGTGCGGGTCTCCGAAACCCGTTTGCGTCTCCTGGCCGCCCCTTCCGAAACTCGGTTCGATGGGAAAGGGAGCTTGTGCCCACCGAAGATCAGCAAAATCTGGGACAGGGAACACGAATCAGCGGATGTTGTTGGGGGGGAGATTTTGATCAAGACACGTGAAGATCGATGGGTTTGGACCGAAACGCGAGCGCCGCGAGGTGAAGAGACGTTCAGAACTGAAAGAGACGTCAATTCGACACCCTAAGAGCCTAAGGGGTGTCTATTGATAGGCCCCTTGGAGGTGAAGTAAGGGTGTCCATGAAGCATCCCGCCTGTGGGGTCGGGGCGAAGAAGCTGTGTCCGACTTGGCACCACCGAACGTGTCTCATCAGCCGTAAACACGGTCCCACCTGACGTCCCATGTGGCGCCGATCTCCGGTTTGGCATCGCAAAGGGTCCAACGATCTGCCGAATCAGACCGTTTCCTTGGTCAATCAGACCGTACCCGGCGAAGCGACGAAACACTGGAGATCAAAGCACGTCTGGCACTGGGATCCTCCCGTTTGGGTCACCAATAAGACTACCCTGAGGAGTCAAAGACGATAAAAAGCATGGTCTGACTAGGTCACCCGAGTTCAGGACTTTTCTTTACTTCAGTCGGTCAACATATCGTCGAACTGGACTTCTAGGGATTCTATAGGGACTACACTTAAAGTTTCTACTGGTCAAACTACGTCGACACCCATTTTGGCTGATCCTGGGTGATGTTGAAGTCTTCAAACATCTTCAAACATAGGGCAGACCGACCACCCGCAAAAAAAGAAACACAATCCCTACAAGTCCAGTCTGACCCAGCAAAACCTGGTCTTTGACACCCTTCAGTGTTTTTAGAAAAGGCCACGGCTAGTCAAATGAGGTCATTGACCTGTAGGGAATATATAACAAAGCTGTTATGTTCAACAAAGCACCGGGTCAACGCAGGGCCTTCGGCGGCGGCTTTCGATCGGCACCATCTCGGGTTCTGTAGAGTCCGTGAGTCCGCAGGTGGGTCCTGTTTGTCTTGGGACTACCGAATGTGGCTTGGATCCACAACCTAACATTCTGGTCTGTGGGTCTCTCACCGGTTGGATCCTCATGTTAGTCTTTCGCCCCTTTTCCGGACGCAGCCTTCATCAGCAAGCGACACTCGCACGCAATTCTCTTGACACTCGCACGCCTTGCGTCGCACTCGGCCAGGCTGCCACAACCTACGTGTCCGCCTCAACGACGAGGCCAGCGCTCCCTTTGCCAAGGCGAGTGACGGGCGAGAGGGATGTCGGCGTCGAAATTCCTGCCCCCACATGAAGAGGCTGTTCAATTGGAGGCCGGGTCAGCATGGATCATCGGGGCTTTCACCCGGAGACCGAGTGACTGGACAGAGAGGTTCCGGAGAAGGGAGTGCCGGAGAACGGACGTTGGGCCGGACCGATCACTGCTAAGTGTAGCTTCCAGGAGTCACAGAGGGGTGGTGTTTAGTCCCTAAGTGAATGGATAATGGGCACCCCTAACCTCCATGGATAGCACCCCTATTAATATGACTGCTGGTTGAGTCTACTGATTCATAAACTTCATAAACCCACCCCATTTGGATGCACTTCTCTCGCGGACTGTCTCCGTTTGCATGCCGTGCAAGCCCCAGACAACTCGAGTTTTGGCCAAGGCTGACCCTGGCCTGTCACCCCGGTCGTACGAGCAGCGTCGTACAGGTGTTGAGCTTCATCCTGCCACTGGCCGAAGAGTTGATGCAGGACCTTTGACTGGTGGATAGGGGATCAGGCCCAGGGGATCCAGACTGCCATACGTTGCCCGTTGAGGCCAGGGGTGGTTTGCGGATCCGTCTACACATGACGATCGGATTTTTCTCCGAGCTACTGACGTCTGGTCCAACCCACGAAGGTACAACCTGCGAACAGCGGGGCGGTTGTGTTGCAGCACTGAAGCGGATTCGCCGAGCAAGCATATACCCGGACTATACCTGTTGTGCCCTGTTGATGTTTCATGAGGGCCATGTCCCACTTTTTCAAGGTACGAAGCGCGTCCAGAAGTCTGGAACGAATGTCGCACTCCCAGTCCCGATGCGGCCGCAGGAGCCAGTGGAAGTCCCGAATTGCTGTCAGTTGGCGTCACTGCCTCCGGTTCCTTGACAACATTTTGTGGTTTCTGTAAACTGCAGGCTTCTGTGACATGCTGTGTCTCTCTCTCTCTCTCTCTATTAATAACATTTTACAATATAATGATATTATATGATATGATATATGTTTGCAGTTATACAATGTCATTATCACATAGAATATACCAAATATACCCTCCCTCAAACAATCATGGAAACGGACAATGACAGAGACAATAGTCCACTTCATGTTTGGAGGGTGGGAAGATACGTCGTAATGCGGGGACACACCTGGGTTTGCTTTTCTTCACGCTCCTATCATAGGAGCCTGTGGATGTGTTGGCATGTGGGATGTGTTTCGTAACTTAGATCACTACAGAGCCAAGAAACCCAAAACACAGGGCGAACTATCAAGCCACCTGTGCCGCCAGAAAGATGTATACCAGGTCAGCTGACCAGATCACCAGTTCTCCGTCCTTTTTGTTTGGACACCTCGGAGGTGTCGGGGATCGATCTCAGACCTCTTTTTCCACCAAGGACGGAGCTCCGACCAGTGACTGGACGTCGCAGGGTGACCAAACGACCACGTACCACGTGGATGGAAGAGCCACTGCGACCGCACAAGGGATGTCGACCGGATCTTTGCGCCGCTTTCGAGAACTGGGGGGTGGATGTAGTCCGGTGGATGGAGCTTGGGAAGCACAGTGGGGAAACAGATTTCACACCAACTGCACCGTTTGAGATGACAACACCTCAAGTTGATTCGGAAGGTTTCCCCTTGCATCCGCGCGGATTTTTTTCGGGCGATGGGTAGAACAATATGGTACAACATGGATGTGCATAGCAAGCTTGCAACAACGCATTCCAATTCGTTCAGCACAAAAGGATGATCCACCATTCCTTGATGTATAGTTGGGTTATGTCGGTTTTGAAGTCTTCTTGTTGTTTCGGTTACGCATCATGGTGAACATAATAAGCACATTCCCATGCCCCCGGTTGGGCACCCTTTATGTGTGTGTTTCCATCAAGATCGTCAAGTAGACATGTTGAATGATCTTTGTGATGTGTGTTTTTCATCCCGTTTCAGGCCCGTGATCCTATAGTGATGACTTGTCATCTTCCTCTCTCTCTCTCTCTCTCTGGATCACGCGGGCCCGTCTCACTCTCGGCTGAGGGGCAATTGAAGAACAACATCGCCCTCATCGTTGGCGTCGCCTTGACACCACCGGATCCTGGGGACGGAGACGGATCCGAGGAACGAGCGGCCGCTATCTCAAATCCAACCTGGTGGAAACATCAATCTGATTTTCCCCAAATGTGGAAAGAATACTAGGTTGGAAATCCCACAGTCATCTCTCTCTCTCTCTCTCTCTTTTGTTCACCCCAAACGGACGTCCAGCGGTCTTGGACGGCGATCTGGTCACGCTGTGCTTTGGTCGAGGCCCCGGCGACACGGTCGACACGTTTGGGTCGTGACCACTGACTGTTCGAATGGACGTGGTGACTGTTCAGTTATAATGGTCGCATAAGGCCCAAAACCTGCAGGGGCGGGTTGGATTCCATTTTCGCCAGAGGGACTGTGTGTTAGGTGAATGGTGAGCAAAAAAATCATGCTGTGGAATCAGAAGGGTTTCAACCACACAGGCTCAGATCCATTGTTGTGCTCACCATTTAGTGATTGGGGTTTTCCTTAGGCTGTCTCCACTCCCAGTCATCTAAAGTATATATACCAGCACCCTCCAGCATGTCACCAGTTGTAACCTGTTAAGGCCCTTCCCAAACCCTCCAGACATATTATATAATATATGATTTGTAGTGATCTTTGTTCCTGACATTCACCTTTACTCGCTTGTAGTCCTGGGTGGTTTGATTCATGAGATATAGATCAATCTACCATAGCCGACCATCATGTGTTTAGGCTTTTTCGCTCTCCAAGCATCAACATCTCCAGTTCAAGATTTGTTGTGTAATTTTGTTGTGTGTGTTTGGCTTGTGCAAACACATCACACACCAAAGAGACCTACTTAGGCACACGTCAGCCAGCACACGAGTACCATATCGTTTTGGTGCACCTGGCATGCGTGGCAACATTCCCGAGGAGAGGTCATCTAGTTCATGGGGAGCCTTCGTCTGTCATCCTGGCAGCCACCGTCTCTGGGCAAAATCAAGCTTGCCGGGAGCTGCCAAATGTGTCATCGAAGCTGGGGTCTTCCCGGTTGAAAAGAGTCGACATCCTGGACCCTTGCTTCACCCACCCAACGAGACCGTGGTGGACGGGCCAGGCTTCGGTGACTACCGAAACGGGAAGGCGGCTGTGCTGTTGAGGCAACGCGAGACTGCACCAGCAGTACACGGACCAGTACGAAGGCACAAGTGAAGCGGATGGGGAAGGGGTTTGGCCAGTCTGATGGCCATACATGACTGTAGTGGGCGATGGCCACTTTGGATGTTGTCATCTAGATTGGGGCAGTGCTTGGGATGAACATCGCATATATTTGAGCTTTGTTTCATGGTCAGGCAGATTCTGCAGGTTCGGATTTTCAGCACAAGCAAAGCATCCAAGACCAGCCAATCCCGTCCCAAGATGTCCCGCCCTCCAAGGCAGGTGCGACACAGCTTTGCTCAGCCTATGTGAGTTTAAGACATAAAATCCTGGAGATCAACCCCGCTGCCGGTAAGGGGGGCTCCAAGATGTTTTCTATATGTTTCGCACCATGTGTTGGATCGCTTTTTGCGTCGGCGCCCGGCGCATCCGTGGAAGTTCAGTCCGTCCGACCAAGCGATTCGAGCATAACAACATGCATAGTTTCATGTAAACAAGATGTCTTCATGTCATTTCTGCTGGTGTTTTTCCCCACCTGTCACGTGAGGGTTGTTAGATGTTATGTCAGCTGCCTCGCTGTTCGCCTCCTCTCCTCTCCTCTCCTCTCCTCTCCTCTCCTCTCCTCTCCTCTCTCCTCTCTCCTCTCTCCTCTCTCCTCTCTCCTCTCTCCTCTCTCCTCTCTCCTCTCTCCTCTCTCCTCTCTCCTCTCTCCTCTCTCCCCTCTCCCC